TGTCGTTAAAGTTTCGTTGGAACAAAGTTACGGAAAGTTAATTAACAAACGGAGACGTAACAATACTAAATCTCTTATTAACTGTGTCAATGTAAAATGAAGTAACGAGACTGGACACAAAGTGTAATAAAAATTGATAATATTTATTCAACTCTAAACACAAACAAAGTATGTGTGTGCATTTTGTTACTCACACGGGACGATCGACTTTACTATATCACTGATTACTGAAGATCACGTTCCCGATTACAATTACCAAACGACTTTCCAGATTCATACTGACCAAACAAGATGTTCCTTGACTTTCCAGATTCATACTGACCAAACAAGATGTTCCTTAACACGTAAGAAACCCTACATTTACCTAGATTACAATTACCAAATGACTTTCCAGATTCATACTGACCAAACAAGATGTTCCTTAACACGTAAGAAACCCTACATTTACCTAGTGCTACTTGTAATACTCAAATGACTGGTCATTTTCATTACAACATTAGTGGGACTGTAACCTCTAATTTATCCCCTAAACAACCGTTTAAAAACATTGATGCCGAATCCTTAAACATCATATCATATTGAGCATTATCATTCCCAAGTAAAAACAATGCCAAGCCCAGTATACATAACTATATCCAATTACTTTATTTATTCTTTAACGTTTGCTACATGCTACGTTCACAGATAGGCCCAACTTCACAACTAACGTCTCAACGGAAATCCTGAAACTAATGTAAGCCTAACATACTTGTAAATTTACTTGTAAAATATCCTGGCTAATCGATTAATAATAAACTTACTGACTAATTGAATTGCATGCAAATAGACAAAATTAATAAATCTCACTATGTAAATCACTATCAAACATTGAGCTGATAAACTCATTAAAATATTGAAAATATAGCTTACACAATATATTTTCTTTAAAACCTGACTTACATTCTTGAAACACACACATGTGAGCGAATTTTTGTTAATTGCTACATTACCAATCATACATTGAACGCCAGGTTTGGCTGAAATTGGGCTATTCTCTGTAATAACATGTCTTTTCCATTATTCTTATTTGTAACATTATCCAACTTCAACACACAAAAGGTAAGTCTAATAATAAACTACCCCACTGGTACAGCGGTATATCTACGGACTTAACTACTAGAACCGGGTTTCGATACTCGTGGAAGGCAAAGCACAGATAGCCTAATATGTAGCTTTGTGCTCAACCACAAATAAACTAATAATAAACGGTCTTTTGTCCTTTTGAGTTTAAATAAATAACCCTGCATGGTTATTTTTTATTTAGCATAAAGCTACACAATGGTTCTGTTCACTGTGGGAAGTAAACCCTGGAAACTTACCTCTAACTAACCGGGAGATAACCTGGATAGAAAATTTTCCCAGGGAATTGAATGACAAATGGTACTTATATTCTTTCTCTGTATTGTTTTTACATTATGCCAACTATTTGTTCTATAATTCAACTTTATATTTTAGGTTATGGTTTAAGATGGAAGAAAGCAAAATTGTGCCTTTCTTCCCAAACTTCAAATTTGAGACAGTTTTTTTTTATGCTATAAAATATAATTCTTTGTTTATATATATATATATTGCGATATCTCACGCGTGATGGCACACTGTTTGAGAAGATGGCGGCCGTTTTTGAAGGTGTTGTTGTAAGTTCATTGTTTGAAAATGGTGAAACAACGCGAAAGTGTTCGGTTCCTTTAACACTTGGTATTTATGATGAGGCAGAATGCGTAATATTGAAATTTAGAAACGGTAGGACTTATTTTTAGTATTCTTGATGTTTTCATTATAAAACGCTTTAATTTCATTAGATCTTGTTAAGCCTAACATATTATAATATCAATATTGTGTAAAACTGGTACAAGTTATAGAGCGTAGTACTACTGCTAGTACTAGTAAGTAGTACTTCTACTAGTGATTGGTACTTAATATAGTTAGGGCTTAGTTGCAACTGTTTAGCATACTTTGTCATAAAAACTTAAATTCATCATGTCTAGTGCCTGTCACAACTTTAATTTACAATGGTATTGTCAACACACACACTCACAGTAATGGCTATTTAGGTTACACCTGCCACAGAAAAAATAAAAGCTTTCAAAATCTAGGGAGGATCAGGTGGCACATTACCTTGGAATAATTTAAATCCAAAATAGTATTATTTTGTTGCATTCTTACACATGAATTTATTGATGACTTCTATAACGATTGCCATTAAAATTTATAATAAATTAACATATTCCTCTTTAGATGAAGCAAAAAATGGCAATCATGTATATGTGAAAGTACAATAAAAAAATTTAAATTTTATAAAGAAAAGTAGGAATCAATATATACATGTAACCTAGCTATCTGTGGAAATATAGAAAGTTTTAATGCAAAATCAAAACTACTGAAACTGCATTACTTAAAATTTGAAAAATTGTATATACTTTGGCTCAGACTAAAATAATTTCAATGATTTGCCAAAGTAGGGATGACATTTTTTAAATTTAAGTAACTCAATATTTTTAGTTTTGTCTTTCTTGTTTCAGTACTTTTTTGTAACATTAGAACTGTGTATATTACTATAGCTTGCTAAGTTATGTATATATCAATTCCCCCTCATCTCTATAAAATTAAGAATTTTTTTATTGTATTTGTTTCTTTTTTATTAACTATATTTTTGTGTGCCAGCAATATCTAGTGTGGGGGTAATCTATTACCTGATTTGATTTTATTACTCATCAGGATCTTTACAAACCTACCCTAGAATCTAATTATATGCCCAAAGTAGCACATCATTATATATATATATACTAGTATTATTTTTGGTACAAGAAAGGAATTATTGGTTTGTCATTTTTTCTGTAAACTTGTGTGGAAAAGTCACTTACTTACGTACTTAAATGAAAATTTGTTGAAATAGTGAAATTTTGATTCATTCCATAAACACGTATATATAGAGATATAGGTGACTCTGTAAGTACAATAAGCTTTGGATTTTGTCGGCCAGTACTGTGAAATAGTCATTGTTAATATTTAGACATTTTAAAGGTGGTTTTAAATGGGCTATTTTTATGGCCACCATTTTGTTTCATCATGATCCCTGCTATTAAGTATTACTGTACTTAATGATAAATTACAAAACTAATAATGGTTGGAGACGGCTCGAATGGGTAATGAAGAAAAATGTTAATATAAGTTTAACATAACAGCAAATGTGCAATGTTTCGACAAGGTTTTGTCATACATAATAACATTCACCTATGAATAGCTCAGTTACTCTACATAATAACATTCACTTAGGAATAGCTCAGTTACTCTACATAATAACATTCACCTATGAATAGCTCATTTACTCTACATAATAACATTCACCTATGAATAGCTCATTTACTCTACATAATAACATTCACCTAGGAATAACTCAGTTACTCTACATAATAATGGTACCTGATGATGATAAAACCTTGTCGAAACATTGTACATTTGCTGTTATGTTAAACTTATATTAAAGTTTTTCTTCATTACCCATTCAAGCCATCTCCAGCCATTATTAGTCTCAAAGTGGGTTCCTCGTCGTCGAATTTGAAACTACAGAACTGTTGTATGCTGTACAAAGTTCTAACCAGGATTTTCCAATTACATGGCATTGAAAAAATTATGAACAATGTTGAAGATGGGGGGGGGTGTCAATTATAGCTGGTGATTTTTCCACTGCTTTCTTCCCCATGATAAGCAGTGGCAAATTATCCAATGATGCCATTAAGAGCTGGCACCCACCCTGTACTGCCATCATCGTCTCCCAATGATGCCATTAAGAGCTAGCACCCACCAACACTCTGTACTGCCATCATCATCTCCCAATGATGCCATTAAGAGCTGGCACCCACCAGCACTCTGTACTGCCATCATCATGATCCAATAGCACTCTGTACTGCCATCATCATGATCCAATGATGCCATTAAGAGCTGGCACCCACCAGCACTTCCAATGATGCCATTAAGAGCTGGCACCCACCTCATGATGATGGCAGTACAGAGTGCTGGTGGGTGCCAGCTCTTAATGGCATCATTGGATCATGATGGTGGCAGTACAGAGTGCTGGTGGGTGCCAGCTCTTAATGGCATCATTGGGAGATGAGAGTGGCAGTATTGTATAGAGTGCTGCCGAAATGTAGTTTTTTTAGGGCTGTGGCCTGTTTTTATTGGACAGCAATTCAGCATTGTATGTTTGTTTTTAATCTTTTACCTGAGCACAAGGTACAAAGTTTCAGTTTTTGGTTCAACTTTACTGTAGACAAAAACTATGTATTTATGTTTAATTAACAAAATCTTAAGCATATTTATTTAATCTGTTGACTTAGATATCAGAATGTACGTGTTGCAGTTTTGATGGTCAGGTGTTTTTTTTTCTTTTTGTCATATACGACTGCTATTTTTGCTTGTCAGATATTACCTTTGGATGTCAGATTTATAATGCAGAGTAAGGTATGTCAAAGGAGCATGCTGACAGAAGGCTGTTGTAGTAATCGCAATTGTCTTTCCAATAAAACTAATTATAGTGTTAAAATGTATGTTACATTCGTGGGCTAGTCTAATAACAGTTTAAATGAGCAGCACAAACTATGTTAAATGTTATAATAAACAGAAGAAATATCAAAGAAAACAACTGGTTTTGTTCTTCCAAAGTTTGAATTTATTTCTTCTGATACTTTACTAAACTTAGCATCCTCAGGCTTTTATGGTCACTGATATCAGGTTATCCAATCTAAATATTATAAATTAGTACTATATCCATTTTTTTTTACCAAAGAAAGCAGACCCAAATTTTTAGGACATTTGTAACTGTCCCTAAAAAAGATTGTAAAGCACTTGACACAGCCCTCTTCCCCCAGAAAAAGCCAGAGGTCCAAAAACTTCTTTGGTGGAGGTTGCAGAGGTAAAGGTTTTGAGAATTTTACTAACATTCTACAAATTAATTCATTTATATCTTTCAAATGTGATATTAGTCTGCTATATGTAATCTTATAATGTACACTTGTATATTTATATTTTTAAGTATACACAAAGAAATCACTGCAGACCACTATTAAGAAAACGTAACTACTTGTTTGGTAAACAAAAAAAAATCACTTCTCTGAAGTATGATTACAATAGCTATAAATCAAGACAATTAAAAAAACATTCATCAGTGAACACTTTGAAAGCCAAGTCAAATTGATAGTTTTTAAAAACAGTTAACTGAAATTCATTGTAATTTCTTTTGTATAGTATTTATATTCCTCCCTCCTATCATAGGCAGGAGGAAATATCTATGTTCTTCAGTGTCATGTGTGACCCAACATCATCCAAAACCAGTCAAATCAGATCATGTGGTACAGCTGTTGTTTGTTTCAGGGTCCATAATGAGGATACAGTTGCATCAAGATTGTAGTTCAACAAAGAAAAGAATAGTGCATTAAATGTGTATCACTTTAGTGAGCTCTGCAGTTTGTTGTTTCTGAGTCTAAACATTTTAAGCTACGTTTGCTAGCTATCCATTATGTAGGTTCCTTTTGTGTTTTATCTTAAAAAAAACATTTTCTACTTTTTAACCAATTCTGTAAAAAATCTGACTTGTTAATTAATCATTTGTGTCTAAGGCATTTTGAAAGTCAAGTTACACAACCTTCATTTGAAAGAAAACATTACCAATTTTCCAGTAATTAGAAATTTCTGCATTATCAAGAGACTTCAGAATCATGCTAGTTAAGCTCAAACTAATACGTTGATAAGTATTCTCAATAGTTTTGGAAAATTCTTGTGTAACCAAAAAGCCTTTCTCTAAAAGTGTTGCCCACTCTTTATAACTACATAATCTTTTTTCTTCAGCAAAAACAAAATTTAAGGAACCTCTCCCACCTTTAAAGTTTGGGAATCTTTTCTTTTTCACCAGTATAACAGTATCTTAAGGTTCCTTATTTGCAAGCTGGTTCATAGTAAAAATTTTAATACTCGTTTTTACAACTGTTTAATTAACTAAATGTTTGCTAGGTGGTGAACTTGAAATATTTTCTTGAATGTTTGGGAGAAATTTAGTGAACTATTGAAAGTATGCATTTTGGGTAATTTTGTTGGTATTTTATTAAAAGCAATGCAACACGTATAAATATCCTCATTTAAAACTTTAATAACCATGGTAAAATGATCATATTCACATCCAACACCAAAAAGTGGCTC